TACTCGGAACTAAAGACCGGCAGTTGCAGCAGAAACTGATTAACGACAATCCTACCTTTGACAAAGTCCTGGAGATATGCCGAACAAGGGAACGAACTGAAGAACAGTTCAACGAAATCCACGGAAAGGACGAGCGACACGAGGACCCACTGACAGTAAAGGTGCTTAGAAGATCAGACCAAGCCACGTGCCACCCTTGCGGCTTTGTTCATCGCGCAAGCACGTGCCCAGCTACTGGAAAACAGTGCCTTAGTTGTGGCGAGCTAGGCCACTTTGCAAAATGCTGCAAGAGCGAGACCCACACACCAGACAGCCGTCACCGACGCCAGTCGAAAAAAGGCCGAAAATTTGATCCCAAAGTACGACAAGTAGAGCGCGAGGATACGGACGACAGCGATGAAGATTATCTGTTGTGCCATTTAACCGTAGATAAGATAGAGAAAGAAGTCCGATGGAGCGAGACAGTCACAATAGAAAAAGATAGCGTACGCTGCAAGCTCGACGCCGGGGCTAATTGCTCAGTCATCCCAGAAAGACTGATCCGTCTAATATGAAACAAAAAAGTCCGGAAGTGCGATACCACACTATCATCGTTTTTTGCCCACAAGAAAAAAGCATGTGGAATAACAACACTGACAGTGTCGAATGGAGCCAGAGCTGTCCAGGAGGAGTTCTTTGTGGTCAAGGAAGAGGTACCGGTGACGTTGGGAGGAGAACTGAGTGAAAAACTTGGAATGATCAAGCGTCTGGCTTCTGTGTCAAGAGAACACGAAGACACAAATGCAGCAGATACAAATCTTTGTGACCCTGCCGGACCATACGCGGACGTTTTCAGCGGACTGGGAAAGGTCAAGGGATTTGTGTACAACATGAAGGTGAAGCCAGGTTCACAAGGCGTCGTTCGCCCAGCCAGGAAGGTGCCTGTGGCACTGCAAGAAAAGGTCAAGTGCGAACTTCAAAGAATGGAGAACCAGGGAGTTCTGACAAAAGTAAAAGAACCGACAGAATGGGCCAGTTTCATGGTAGTTGTCGCAAAGAAGGACAAAGTGCGCATCTGCATGGACCCAGTTGACTTGAATCGAGCCCTGAGGAGAGAACACTACCCGATGACGACAATGGACGACATTGCCGTTCGAATCGCGGGAGCGAAAGTGTTCTCTGCGCTAGACACATCCTCGGGATTCTGGCAGATTGAACTTGATGAAGAGAGTTCAAAGTTGTGCACCATGAGTACTCCGTATGGAAGGTACAGGTTTAAGAGAATGCCCTTCGGAATAAGCACAGCACCTGAAGTTTTTCAGCGTGTCATGAACGAAGTACTAGATGGACTCACCGGAACAGCAGTCGTGATGGACGACATATTGGTGTGGGGAAAGACTCGCCAGGAACATGACGAGAATCTGCGACACTTGCTCCAACGCTGCCGTGAAGTGAATCTACGACTTAACCCAAAGAAGATCCAATTCGCAAAGACAGAAGTCCGCTACCTCGGACAAGTGCTGACTGGAGATGTAGTTGCTGTTGACCAAGAGAGAATCAAAGCCATACTGGAGGTCAATGAACCGAAAGATCGCAAGGAACTTCGAACATTTCTCGGAATGATCACCTACTTGTCGAGCTTCATACCACGACTTTCAGAGCGTGCGGCACCACTACGAGAACTGGTGAAAAAAGAGATTGCATGGGTATGGACGGTAGATCAACAAAGAAGTTTCGAAGACCTGCGAGACGCTTTGACGAAGGCACCAGTGCTGGCTTACTACACTGCAGAAAAGCCGATTACGCTGTCAGTCGACGCAAGCCAATACGGAGTAGGGGCCGTTATCACCCAAGACGGAAGACCAATAGCGTACTCATCGAGATCTTTGACAGCCGCACAAATGAAATATACGCAAATTGAGAAAGAGATGCTGGCCATTGTTCATGGTTGCAGCAAGTTCCACCATTACATATTCGGCCAACCAAACGTTACAGTAGAATCCGACCACAGGCCGTTACAGGCTATTTTCATGAAACCGTTGCACCAGTGCCCGATGAGACTGCAGCGGATGAAGATGGCTCTCCAAAGATACTCATTGGAAGTAAAATTCATACCTGGAAAAGACTTGCAGTTAGCGGACGCACTGTCACGGTTTCCCACAAAGGAAACAATGCAAGAAGAAGAAGAGAAATTTCAAGTCAACTCACTGGAGCACATATCTGTCACACAAGATCGGCTAAATGAAATAAGAGACGCAACTGCAGCCGATGTCCAGATGCGTCTACTGCGCGAGTATGCACAGACGTCATGGCCCGAGCAGAAAGAGCAAGTTCCTCAACTCGGAAGGCCATTCTGGTCCTACAGAGAGGAGATCTACGAGGAAGACGGCCTTGTGCTGCGGTCAAACAAGATAATAATTCCAACGGCCATCAGATCCAAGATTCTCAACTTGCTCCACACGGCACACGCGGGCAAAGACAAAATGAAGAGAAGAGCCCGAGAAATTTTGTTCTGGCCCGGAATCAACGCTGACATTGACCGCGAACATGACAAATGCAGCAAATGCGAGAAGTACAAATCAAGAAACGCCAAGATGCCACTCCTCAGCCACGCACTGCCAACGCTTCCTTGGCAATTGGTCGGGACCGATTTCTTCACTCATGAAGGAAAAGGCTACATAATCCTGGTGGATTTTTACTGATTTTATTTTGAGGTAGAAGAAATGAAAAGTACCACAGCTTCCAAAGTCAAAGAGTTCTGCCTTAAGGTATTCGCAACACATGGACTGCCGTTGAAACTTATAAGCGACAATGGCCCACCGTTTGGCAGCCAGGAGTTCAAGCAGTTCTTGGAAAACCTGAAGATAGAACAAGTTACGTCAAGCCCTTACCACGCTCGATCAAATGGCATGGCTGAACGAGCCGTGAGACAGGCCAAACAACTCTTGCGAAAGAGTGCCAATACTGAGGGGTTTTACCGCTCCCTCCTTGAGTGGCGCAACACTCCACGAGACGATGTCCTCCGATCGCCAGTACAGAGACTGATGAGCCGACCCACAAGAACACTGTTACCTGCGCGATCGGAACATTACCTGCCGGCTGTTGTGCCACCCAAGGCTGTCACACGTCGTCTCACAGAAATAAGGCGGCAACAAAAGGCGAACTACGATAGAAGCTCAAGAACACTGCCAGACATTGACACGGGTTCTACAGTCACCGTCTACAACACCCTGCGGCGCACATGGTAACCTGCCATAGTCGTGGGACATCCAGTGCCGAGGTCCTACGACATTTTAACCCCAGGGGGTCGGGTCCACCGAAGAACCCGTGAACACTTACGAACGGCGACGGATTCTCGACGAGAGCTGACCTCCACGGGGAAAGACACAGCCTGCACGGAACAGAGTCCCAGTGACTTTAACCAGAGTCAGCCTCACCCGGGACCGCGGCCGCAAAGAGGAACAAGGAAAAGAAGGCCACCACAACGATACCCCAACCACGTTGATGGTGACGCTCTACGCTGACTTTTCCAGAGAAAAGAGATGTAGTAACTAGCGATAGATGGCGCCACGTCTCCCAGCGGTGCCGCGTTTTGAGCACGAGCGCGGAGCGCGCGGAATAAAAGATCATTCGTTCGAATCTCCATGCTGGCTGATGCGTAATGCTTCCTACAAGAAGTTCAAGTATCATATATCTTAGAGAACAGTGACGAACAAAGTGAATTGTCTATTTTTCAAAAAGATATTGAAATAATAATCATCTGGTTTTCTGCTACTCACATCTTTGTTAATTCCAGTAAAACAAAACTGATGTGTTTCCGTACTCCGTATAAACATTTAAAACTTAAAACTTTCGCACTTTGTTACGTCTCGACTCACAGAAATGCTCATTGTGCAGCTGTGTAACAGATTATGTTACAAAAACTAAGTATTTTGGAATGCATCTAGATCAAAATCCCCCGTGGAATGAGCAGGCAGAATATCTTATAAAAAAATACGTGCTGTCTCGGTCTATTTGTACAACATGTGTAGTGTAGTGACAATGTCATTAAGAAGGAGGCACACTGGGTGAGCCTATACTCCGATATGATATCTTTTTATATGGTGTGTGTTTTAATTATCAAAAAAAAAAACTTGACAAAATACTACATAAAATTGCAAGTAATATTACTTACGGGGCAACCTACACAGAGTTAGAAATGAACAAAAAAAAGTGTTTTAAAGTTGTTATCTATAGAAACACTGCGCTGCTATGTTATTTGAGTAAATCACTATTATAAGAGCAACTTTAAAATAGCAATAAAAAAGAACGAACACTTAGACGCATGCACAGCTTTGTTGTTCCGAAGATTTATACAAATTATGAGAAAAAACACGGAAATCTTACCTTCCGATTTTATTTTAATAAGCTTGCAGAAACTTACTGTAACATGGAGTCACTGAGACAAGTAAAATATGAACTAAAAGATTGGTGCTTGAATTTGAAAATGTAACCTGGCTTTATTGCTTTAGTATATCATTGAGTTTTGTCTCTTTTTTTCTTGTCTGCTTTTGTCGTGTGCCAGTAATGCACACAAGATGATTTCAGTGTAAGCAGCCCTCTGGACGCCAGGTCCCGCATACAAGCACACTTTCGCGGGCCTGCATATGTCACATGTTTATCATCTGAATTAAATTCTTCTTATTCTTATTCTTGTACTATCGCTTTGCAGCCCAAGATGTTACAACTGGAGATTACACGATGCAGAGTTGCTTTTTGCTCAGTGTTATACTAATGTTATGGCGTCAGTGACGCTAAAAATGTATTTTTTTTAAACATTTACGCGTTTTACAAATCTTTAGTGCCTTCTGGATAATAAGAGAGAGCTATAAATCTAAATAAATGTGAGAATGACCTCAGAAATTGCAGTGCCGGAAAAATATTTGAGGCATTTTCAGACAATGCGTGGCCGTTTTTTTTCTTATTTAAAGTGACTGTTAAGGGTGACGCCTAATTGAACAAAATGTCTTTTATATTTTCAGAATCTAATGAAAATAAGCTTCAAGAACGAGCCGACACAATTCGATTTAGTAAGTAAGTTTTTTTTTACAAGTAACCGGACAGCCTTTTTTCGATTTTCAAAAGCGTACCCCATTTCGAGCACGGTGTGTTCTTCCTAAAGTTACAGTTGTATCATATATAGGCTGAATCATAACTCTCGTGGAAATGAAAATGAAAAAAAAGCTTGAGGGTCAAAAAGATTGATCTCACGAATTGTGTTTCTTTTCACGGATATGGTAATTATTTATTACAGGTGCGTATCTTTGCGGAAATTATAAACTTTCTTTTTCAAAGCAACAGAGTAGGCGGTCCAGAAAATACGCACAGCAAGATATTGTGGGGCCTCTCTAGTTCGTGCTTTTTCTTTGTTTTATTATTATAGAATTGCAAAGGAGGCATCAGGTTTGCCCTATGTTAAGTGAGAAAATAGTTTTCTGCTTTAAAGTTATATTTATATAAATATACCTTAATTAAAAATCGCCGAAGCCACAAGCGGTAATGTTGTAATAAAAATTATCTCATTTTATGTTTCAATAAGTTATTGTGGCGTAAGCATTTTTTTTTTTTTTTGTGATATAAGAACCAACAATATTGATACCTCTGGTGCCATCTAACACAGAAAGTTCGAGAGGTTATCGCGCTGTTTCCGTAAACTTTTGCAAAGGTTGTATGTATTTCATTTTTTAAATCAGAAATCCTGGTCGTGATATTTTAATGACGAAAGACAGAGTTCGCCGATTAAACTAGAATTAAAAATTAGCACGACAGAGGGTAACATCAGTGCCATCCTTGTTTGAAATATTGAGATAGCAACGCAGTCTTTGTTGTAGACTTTACTTACGTTTATGAACACAAACCTCTCAAGCAGTCAAGGTTTCCTAAAATTTCAAATTTATTTTCATTATTCAATACTTCATTTTGACTCGGTTGTTGAGCCAAAAGTAGACGAGCGCCTGTATATATTCAATCATAAAAAAACTTTGTATTAAATTTTGTTTGGTTCAGATGTTCCTAATACTTCCAAATGCCGTATTTGAGAATTTTGTTAACCTTTTATTTTAAATTTGCAAGTAAAACTGATGCCAACGTTCAATATTAATAATTGGAAAATTTACCCCTACAGGTCCCCATAAAGAAAGAAAAGTTCCAGAGACTTTCTTTGTTGAAACACTGGTGGTAGCCGACCAGTATCTTTATAGAAAGTTCCATAACGACACTGAACTGATAATATATCTCGCCACTACTATGGCAGCGGTATGAACTTATCACCAATTATTGACTTGTAAAACTTGGGTTCAAATTAACGTTTCCCACCTCAATGCGAACGCTCTGCTTTGACACATTGCAGGTATCATGCATTTAAATATCTCCAAGCACTTAATAGTTCGCGCTTATCTTTTTTTCTTCAACTATACTTCCCGTTAAACCACTCACGAGGCTGCTTCTTTCATCGGGAATCACACTTCTTGCGTCATTTGGGAATCTTATGGGGTACCGGGACATTTTCATATTATTCAGGTCACGCTCACGTTCCCTGAAGTTTTCGGAATCTGCTGGCGCCATCGTGTTGTTATACTCTCAGCATACACTCAGATAAACGCCAATTCATTGATAAAAATATTGACACCAAAATTCACATCATCTAATAAAATAATAGACCAAGAAACCACGGCGCCCTGTTTGAAATACCTTTGTTATTCCATGACGTCGTGTATGAATAATTAAATAAATTAAATATCTAAATAAAGCAAGCATTTATAACTTTTACCGCCTTAGCGGAGTTCAAGATTTTTGCTATCAAAATTGTAATAAGAGGCTTATTTATGGATATATAAGAAGCACAAAATCACTTTATTTTATTAGATATCATTGCTATAGGGTAATTCTACGACGTGTAAACATTTTTAGCATTGTATTTTTAGTCATATAGTTAGTTAATATTATCCCGGCTCAGAAGAGCGGCGGTGACGGAGAAAGGCAAGACGCTAAGACCACGAAGGCCCGCGGCGCCGAGTTCAACGGAGGTGGGATGGTGTCGTGCAGACGAATTTGAATCAATGTAAATAAATTATAATATAATATAAAAGACAAGAAGCAGAAGAAGACGACGAGCTATCGTCCTAAATAAATAATTTGACTGGAAAGCCTCCAGAACACCCTCAACGGTCATTCATCCTGCATTGTAAAACGATATTAAACCATCTCACAAGTGGTGAGGGTCCGTTCATTCTCGAACATTTGCGCACCTTAACATACCCAATTCAGTTCTGGAGCTTCGCAGTGGACGCACAACTATCACCACCGAAACGAACTCGGAAGTCCATCTCAGCACGCCCACCTCCATCGTACAACCCTGTAAAGCACCGCCAGCGGGACCCTCCAGTTTTCCGCGCCTCTTCGGATGTCGACGATTGGCGGAAGCAAAACCCCCGCGTCACCTTCCCCGACCACTGGCGCAACTGCCATAAGCAGGCGAACGCGGAGTTTTCCTTAGAAGACACAGTGCTCTTGTGGTTTGACAACCATGAGGTGGACATCAGCTTCTAGGATGGTTTCACGACCGCTTGTTTGGAAACATTCGGTAAACTTGAAAGCCGCAATTAACAAGCCTAAGACAAGCTGTCCTACCGACACCAAACCCCATCGAGTCATCCAAGAACTATTCCAAAGACGCCCTTCGTCCCTGTCGCAATGTTGATGAGCGGATGACCAAGAGCGGCAAGATCCGACAAATGTCAATTGTAGCTTCGAAAGCCCCCCCCCCCCACTGTATAGCAACTATATCAGAATGAAAAAGTGGGAGCCGCTTACAATTCCCTGTAACGCCGAATTAGAGCGCAGCTCTTGAGGAGGAGGAGGGAAGGGCACTGGGGGGGGTTAAATTAACCAGGGGGGTCACGTGACCTTGGGGGTCACGTGACCCCCAATGCCGATGATGTCATCACTGACGTCACTGATGACGTCATCAGTGACGATGACGATGCGGGTACCGATGACGTCATTAGTGACGTCACTGATGACTTCACCAGTGATGATGACGATGACGATGCGAATGTCGGTGACGTCATCAGTGACGTCGCTGATGACGTCATCAGTAATGATGACGATGACGATGCGGATGCTGGTGACGACATCAGTGACGTCACTGATGACGTCATCAGTGATGATGACGATGACGATGCGGATGTCGGTAACGTCATCAGTGATGATGATGATGACGATGCGGATGCCGGTGACGTCATCAGTGATGATCACGATGACGATGTGGATGCCGGTGACGTCATCAGTGATGATGACGATGACGATGTGGATGCCGGTGACGTCATCAGTGATGATGACGATGACGATGTGGAGGCCGGTGACGTCATCAGTGATGATGACGTCATCAGTGATGATGACGATGATGATGCGGATGCCGGTGACGTCATCAGTGATGATGACGATGATGATGCGGATGCCGGTGACGTCATCAGTGATGATGACGATGACGATGTGGATGCCGGTGACGTCATCAGTGACGATGACGTCATCGGGGGGCGACGCGACATCGGCGGGGTCACGTGACCTCGGGGGGGGGGTCACGTGCCCCCCACGAGGTCACGTGACCCCGGTGGGGGGCTCGCGCGGTGCATTATGGGACATTTCCCATGATGCACCGCGCGGTCACGTGACCTCGGGGGGTCACGTGCCCCCCCACGAGGTCACGTGACCCCGGTGGGGGGCTCGCGCGGTGCATTATGGGACATTTCCCATGATGCACCGCGCGGTTACGCCGACGCCGACGGCGACGGCGACGGCGACGCCGACGCCGCTCAAGCCGGAAACGGGCCCCTAAGAGCTGCGCTCTAAAACGTACAAAGAAATGCAAAGCTCTCGTTTCTCAAAGGCGCCTTTTGGACGCTTTTTAGAATTCACATTAACAATGTCAACACCACGAACCTTGTAGAACTGCTCTGCACCACCATCCGCGAGGAGTTACGACGGTACTCCAGCCCGTTAGACACGACCGACGACACCCCCGGACAAGGCATCGAGAGGAAGACCACCCAAGAAGTGGTACAAAACAAACTGCGGGGCCGCTTTACAGCCTCTTAGTTCTCCGTGCTCGTACACGCCTACAACACCCCTATTCCAGACGTCTTTGCCTTCCTTCTCTATACAGCCGGCGCAGCATGGCTGTATAACCACCTTTCTATGTAAACAAGCCCCAAATAACACGCTTCTATGTACCACAACGCCGATTCAACCTGTGAAAAACGGTTGAAAACAGGCCGGTATATTTTTACTGGCGTAACCATGGGCACATTCCTCGTTACTGTCGTCGCCGGCTAAATCAAGAGATGTCTCCACACGACAGCAACCTTATGTCGATACTTAAGTTCTTACGACACCCTCTCTTTCGCTAACCGCCGCAACGTAAGCCTTTTTCAGACAAACGGGAACCGCAATAGTCGATCGACTTTTCAATATCTTGCCCGTCACCGTTAAATTTCTCTGTTAACAGCGCTACTGGTCCCACCCATACGGGAAAGTAAGTGCGGCAACCTGCAGGAACACCGGAGGAAAGGTTGCAAACTCACATATTGCAGTAAATCCTCCACCTGTCGAACCTAGTGTCATAAACGTTGGAATCGCCGGACACACGTTTTATGTTCTAGCCAACACTGTTGCTGCAATATCTTGCACCTCTTATGAAGTCCCTAAATGCTTGCACGGAGTTATGACCCCTGCACGTGGCTATATCTTGCATCTCGGAAATGGCACTTCAGCCACTAGGGATGTTAAACCCTTTGAGTGCTCGCTGAAGAATTTGCAATGTTAATTTATTTACAATTCTCACCAACTGTGATGCGGATATAATATGAGGAAAAGGTTTTCTTACCTCAAAGTACGCCCTCATTGACTGTACCCGCCATGAGTTGCACCTAAATATTTTTGATGCTCCTGATAATTACCTGACCAACCACCATTCGCTATTTTGCGCACAATAGATGACGTCCTTCTTGAACCCTTATCGGTAATCGTCACAGCACTTAAGCCGGATCATCATTTTCCTGGAACCTTTGGCCTAAAAGAAATATCGTCACTCATTTTTGCTAAGAAAGGCATCGTTGTTTTTTTACTCTATCGTTACAGTACGAGAAGGCGAAGCTATATCTACCTGACAAACGCTTCCCCACAAGAGCAGGTTCTTCCCATGGAAGTCATGTTGCCTCCTTACGGACGTTCGAAAAACAAAACCTGGCTTTGGTGGCTAACTATCCGTCCAGTATTAGAAACTCCCTCCCTTCCACTAAAGCCCATACAAGTCGCATTGCAAACATGATCAACCCAGCACTAGATGTTGATCAGCAACAAGCTCTGACTCATCTCTGACGAAGCACCACAATATCTTCCACACGACTTCCTTCAAACAAACGCCCCTTGCGCAATACACCAATGACACCGGTGACGCCCATCCAGTAAGAAAGACGTCGATATTAGAGTCTCGCTTGCAGATCGTGCTGTATTACCCAACGACACTTGACAGATATACTTCGAAAGGAAGTCAGTGAGGCATCATCACGTCCATGGTCTTCACCTGTTGCGCTGGTCAAAACCTCTACAAATCTTAGCTCGTTTGTGTAGTTTCTAGACCCCTCAATGATATAATTAGCAAGGATTTTATCGAATATGTCGTTTTACACCTGCAACTCTTGGTCAGGAAGGAAGGGAACTTCTAGTCGGAAGAACAGACGCAGAAGGTAACGTCACTGGGACATACAAATCAGTCAAGCAACATTTAGACGTGGGTGGACTGTCTCGATGCCCTCTTCCTGTTGGAAATACTCAAGAACGCCCTTACAGCAACTAGCACACAACGGCCTTCCTTCACAATATTTTCACGAATGAAAAAATATGAGGCTGCGAATAACTGGAGGAACTAAACGTTTAATGTGGTGGACGGTTATCGTGTTTGGATCCCGAGAGAAGGGCCTAGGCTTGATTCCTGGGATCCAAGCACGATAACCGTTCGTCCACGGACGCGCTTGCGCGGAGACGCGCGGGGCAATATGGGCATCTCCGGTGCCCAGCGATACGACCGATTATTATGGCTAACCATTCACCACCTAAAGAGAACACTCCGCCATTGTTTAGACACACTTACGAACTACAGATACGTCTATGGCCTTTCGTTTTTCTACGCCAGCTGGAAAAAGATGTTTCACACGCCACCCATGATGACACGACCTTAGGTCATCTTGGATTTTTAAAAACATGCTTCAGCTTTCCGGATAGCTCCTTCTGGGATGGGATGCATCGATTCATTATTAGATACGTCTGGGTATGACATCTGTACCCCCCCCCCCCCCCCAGACAACGAATAGCCCAAGTACAAGCCGATCCGGTCCTGCGCGCGGCATTTCTCCACCAGACCGCCCTTTTCAATAAATCTGAATATTTGTTTTATCATTTCATGCATTTATTACTAATATCCGCTAGATAATTGTGGCTGTTGAATATTTGACCCGTTACACCGATTCGAATGCTGTGCCTGTCGCAGCTGCGCGAGAAGTGGCCAATTTCTTCATGTTATTTTACTGTTTTACGCAATGGGGCTCCACACCCCATTATAAGCGACCGCGGCACCTATTTCTGGCTTAAGTGCCCGCAGACGATTTTCAGCTGGCTAGTTCCACTAACAGTGTAATAAGTGCCCTCGAACTGATGAGACCACGTCTTGCCATTTCTCACTTATGTCTCAAACACCGAACGCCGGGCTGCCATATTCCACTTTGTACATCCGCGCAACACTGACAACCCAAGACTAAATGTTGGTATGCAAACCCAGTCCCTCACAAACCCTTCTGATATCAGCTCCCCAGCTGAGGGCATGCGTCAAATTGCCCGCTTCCAAACCTTCCAATCAAAGCAGGAGCATCAACTCCATCACGCAGAGGATCTCCGAACCGTCATGTACAACACTAGTGACAAGGTTTTGCTTTGAACCCCAATCCGGCAGCTTGGCCTCTGTGACATGCTAATGCCCGAATCGGTCGGACCATACCAAATCGTCCGCCTCCTTTCTTCAACAAACTACGATGTCGTTCTAGTCCAGCCACCTCGTGGCTGCTGCTCAAGGGCAATCGATATTGCTCATGTAGACTGTATCAGCCACTGCTATCGCTCAAACCGGAACACACAGAAATTCACTCAGTACCGGCTGGCCGGCACTGCCGCCCTTCTGGGGTATTGGGAGGAAGAAACGAACGAGGAGAAGAAGACACCTAGCCAGCGTCCGAGGCAGAGAAGTCGACTAGTCGACAACCGTGGCAACACTCTCGACACAGTGATTCACCGTTCATAGCAAAACGATATTAAACCATCTCACAATGAGCAGGGTATTTTCAAGGCTTTATAGCTTTGTTTAAGAAGAGAGCCGTAAAACCTAGAGAAATGTAGACTGGGCAGGTGACAACACGGCCAGGAAGGCTTAAAATAGAAAAAAAAAGTCTGCATAAGTTGGGAGGTTAACAAGAATGTGTGTGTTAACTTTTGAATTATCGAAGATACATATATGAATTTAACCAGAAATTCGCTGGGCGTCACCGAAAACCAATAGGTTAATACGTTTTAGAAAGACTTAGGGGAAAGGGGGGGCGGGGCGTAGGAAATGCGGGGGTGCACAAACTTTACCACCAGTGCACCACCCGTATTGCACCCTTTGCACGAGTGGTATCTTTAGCACACCACCTTCTCTTTTCACGCGTTGCAAAGTTTTCAATATTTAATGCTCTAGTAGTTTTCAATGACGCCTAGCGAAATTCTAGCTGAAAGTTTTTTTTTATTTTTCCTAATAACTGATTGAGCATACTTAAGCTAATTATTCCACTTATCGTTACGACTAGACCTTTATATTATATCCCCCTTGCCACATAACTCACCTCCCTAGAACGCATTAGATTAGATTTCGCGACGTTTCAGGAAAGAAACTTGTAAAGCCTAGAAAATTTCCGGTATTTAGTAGATACTTTTCTTTGTTTTAAATTGTTTGGTCAAATATATACATTGTGCAAAAAAATCGGCACTTGAAAGGAAGGATTTGATTTCTGAATAACATTATCCGTTACAGCGGACGTGAGGTAGATAGTGAAACTAGCAGTTAGCGACTTCCGTTCGTAAAAGTCGACAATTAACTTTCAAAATTTTCTCTTGACTGACACGTTCTAAATAAAAAATAATTGCCTATCGTCGAGATATAGAAGAGCTGCTGACAGAACTAGCAAATCTGAGTTCTGCATCGTGCCATTCTCAGGTGAATTTAAACATCTTAAGTCCGGTATACCGAACCGCAAGGTGAAAGAAACGTCTAAACCTGAGTTCCCGATGAGACAACCGAGTTCGACGCGCCTTCTATACGAGCACATGAACCTGAGACAACGTGGCTCTGTTCAGGCGTTCTCTATTACTCTCTCCCGGCGCCTCCTGCGGAAGCTGGCGTCGCCTGCGGGCGCTAAAATCCTCTGATTCTTTTCACCTAGCTTTGGTATTTTAGTATTTGCCTTGTAATTGCGTGGAACTAGAATTCATTCTGACAACTAAAAACAGCTAGGGCTTTTTTATTTGCCGACGGACGATGCATGTATAGTTATAGTTTGCTAGCTAAGTTGAATGGTTAAATTGGCAAACAGTATATTTAAGCAACTCCTTTAATAATTATCAACCTATACTGGCTGCCTATCATCCGCTCTGGTCGATAGTGTAGGCGCCCCTCCCTCTCCCCAATATTTTTTATAAAGTTTAAATACATTTTTAAATTGTTTTATGTCGCTGTAAAACAGCGTGCATATAGATGCAGGCCAAGTTTTGGGAAGGAATGTACGTTTATGGTACTTATGAAGTTAATTAGTTTGCAGAGATAAAATACTTAAAATTCCAAGGACGGTTAATTGACAGGATATAAAAAAGGAATACCAAAGCCTTGACTTTGTTGCCAAACTAATTTCATTTCGATAAAAAATTTACTTTCTTGGAGAAAGCTTACAATATACGCACAACATTCAACATACAATATGGCAATTCTAGGCATAAAACTTAAAATTAGCGCTTCAATCAACGTTCAATACACTCTGCGAAAAAATAGGCATGTCTAAAGGACAAAAATATACAAAATATTCAAATATTTACTTTTTGTAGGCCTTGGTGCCGAATTGTAGTCTATCTTCACAAGGGTGGATCATATTTTACAGGATAGTTTTACTCATACAAGCATTAGTTGACTTGAACGCTCCTAAAGAAATCTTCACACACTAAGGTACTAACTGATGTGGGCAAAAGTTTCAATGAAATTTTACTACAAACAGGATTTCTACACAAGGAGTAAGAATCTTGGAATCCGTACGTAGTGATTTCACGCATAACAGAGAAGAAGAAATATATTACACGAATTAAGCATTCATACACCTAAATTTAATGGATGTTGTATTTTTTTCATGTCTAACAAAGCTTTATAGGATGGACAGTTCGGCTAGTTGGTATGAAAGCGTGACCCCCTTGTGATATGTGCTCTGTTACATGTCCTTGTAATTTTGCGCCGTCTTTTTATCATGCATCTAAAAAAACAGTAATAGCTATTAGACAAAAAATAATATTTTTCTTCTCTTGTTTAAGGTGAACATCAGATTTGCCAACGCCAGTGACCCAAAAGTAGGCCTCCTAATCGTAAAAATAGTGAAGGATCCGGTACGCTTTATTTGAAGCCCGTGTTTTATATACTATATTGTACTAATTGTTAACTTATATAACACGTTTCACAATATCTAGGGAACAAGCTTTCATCGACTTTTTATAGGTTCGGCTCCAGGTGACCAAAAAAAGTCACTCAAAATCTTCGCCAATGCTCCAAAAACATTATCCCAGTTCGCTACCAAATACCAGAGCTCCATCTGCGACGTGGCGTTGCTAGTTACAGGGTAAGAATAAGTATTTATTCAGCGAGCTATATTCTTGGCGTCTCTATAGTAACTAAACAAGACACAATAAATAAATATTGTAAGTACGGCGAACAAATACAGTCAGGCGTTCCCACATAGGCTGTCAGGTGTGTAAAATAAAGTAAGTGATTATCATTGGAATTCTCTTGGTGAAAAGCAATACACACAAACAAGTTTATTGATAGTGAAAATATTAAATATAAAAAGGGGAATATATGCACCACTTAGTGTTTTTTGAACATTTGGAGTTCAGGGCGACCTCACAGTCCGCCTGCAGCACCAAAGTCCAGCACGTTAGCGCTTTTGGAAGATTGATGCGAAGAGTGCTGATACCAGGGGGTCAAGTGGTTCACTTATTGTCACCCCTGGCGACATGCCAGAGAACAAATCTTATGCCTGCACAGAAGATGTCGGTGCCTAAGTTCTCAGCGTATTTGCGCCTTTTGAAAAGTTAACACCGACAACGATATGCATCGGCATTGCCTAATACAGGAAACACCATGATTTTTCGTGAATGCTTTCAACCGCAAAACTGCCACAACCTGTGCGGAAACCATTACAGCCTAGCGCGCACTTACGCGCTTTTGTGGCGTGGGCTCCCGGGAGACCGTGACAGTCGGCTAGCGTTGCTTCAGTGATGGAACATGGCGAAGGAAGCTGGTCTGGTTGGTGGTAATCCAGGCAGGGCCGCGCCACTCAACGACGTGCTGACACTCGCGCAGAGAATGTCCTTGCGCCTTGTAAAATTATTTCTTGGGCCGTCAGGAAAAATGCCGGGAATCCCACTTTTGACACCAAATGTTACGTTTTTAATTTACAAGAGGACGTCCACAGTCAAATCAGACCAAATTAGAAGTGTGTCACGCGCCGTCTGCACGCGCTTCGTCGTCGTCTTTGGTGGTTCCCGGCACGCGCCTTAGCACGCCGCTACAATATGTTTTGTATAGAGTTTCCCCCCGAAAAAACTTAAAATGTTGTTTTTTTATAAAGAAAAATTAAATAAACTGCGCGTTGCGAAACCCTCAGTCTCCACTCAATTTGATTGGAGACTGAGATTAGAGCAAACGATTAAAAAGCGTGTCATGCTCTCTCTATAATATTAAAATGTTTCTTTCTTTCTCCGTTCTTAAAGATTTAGCGCATGCTCTCGCGTATAGTTATTTACGATATGGCATAACCCTTTTTTCAGGATTCTCTCTTTCTTGGCGATATAGAATTAATTCCTTACCAAAAAGTGTTTTGAAAAGTGTTTCTGTCGATTGGCAAGATACCACGAGTTGCAATATATTTAATAAACTCAATTTACCGTCCTTTATGGGTTTTTTAGAAAAACGGTGGCCCTCCAACATTTCTAGACCTCCGATTTTAAAACGCCCTACATTCAACAGCGTCCAATGAAGCCATCACTTAGATTTAATTTACCTCGTATCAGGACCAAATATGGTGAACGAACACGGATGTATTATGTACCACATGTTTCTACCAACCCGCCTGATAATATAATGAATTCAACGTCGAAACAAGAGCTGAAAGAACGCTTAGAAACCTCGAACATTAAAATGAACATTCCTGTTTTTTTATATTTTTTTTTGCCCTTAGTTTTTTTTTTTTTTTTGCTTTAGGTGACATGTTTTCATTTCTGAGACCTCGGTCTTCTTTATTGTTAGTCTATTTATGGTCCAGTTATATTGGTACTTTATGAATTATATTGTTCTGCTAGAGTGCAAATTGTTTTCTTTTTCTTTGTTGTTCACATCGTCAACTGCCGAGTCAGGCAGACAAGCCCCTGATGATTCACACGGCTCGTTAATGTGCTTTTGTAAACTAATCACGTGACAAATAAGAACATAGTTTAATGTTCAATTGTAGCTCTCGCAGGTTTGCAGCAGATGCCCAAATTTCATAACACACTCTTAACTTACTAAACATTTAGAAATGATTTTGTGAAAGTTTCTTTGGCAAAATGGGACCCAATTACGATAGCTGACGACTGTCATATCCAAGTTTATCGGGGGCTCCGTTGGTGTCCGTACATATATTAACTTCTATCTACGCATCGCAATAATTACCCAAATGTAGCACTGTCATAGGAACAAGGTGCCGAGGTGTCCCATCTCACTGTTATTTAATTATAAATTTGTATCAGTTATTCGGAAATTTTCGGTAATAAGAAGGTTTCTAAAGGAAGCCACGAATATATGAAAGTGAATGGAGTCTGCTGCTGCCACGAATGACCCGGTTTCCTAATTGAAAATAACCGGACGCTGCTTATAACTCTAGTATCACGTAACACTAAGATCTGAAAATTTTGGCATCTGGACGTAGCTACTAGTTCTACATTTGATAAAAAAACTGAGTGTTCGGCGACGTGTAGTTTGGTTTAACAGAAAGAAAAAGGGGTACTTTTTAATCCTATCACCAGGTATACTTTGTACTTTAGTGCCAAGGTGCCCACGGCAACTCGGTGTGTCAACTTAGGTGTACAAGTAGCACCTTCGGTTAAAAGTTTGTTTTTTGCCAATTTAAGCCCAGAAAACCCAAACAAGTCAAGGTGTAACCAAATTTGAGAGGAACTGGGTATTGCGCCCTAAATATCCGAACAAGTGCCAGAGTTAGGCTTCACAGCCCAATTCTTAATTTATCATCTGGCATCTTTGGTCTGCATTCCCTAGCGAATGCCAGAATAAGGATTCCCAGCTTTTTTTTTTTTTTTTTTTTTTTTTTTTTGACTGTTATATGTCATATTCGGCTCATGTCTAACTCAGGTGGCCAACCAAAAAAAAAAGTCACACTTCGCATTTTTCTCGTTAGTTAGGCCCATAAAAGTGCTTCAATCCTAACTAACACCTTGAAGCTAAACAATATGAGGCCTAAATTCGGCTTCGTCGATTTTCAAAATTGGTCAAAGTCAGGCCTTTCATTTGTGCCCTGCATGTGAAGCAGTTCTTATATGTGAATATAAGTGTTTACGGTGTCGAAAAAGCTACTGCATATGATGACACACTTCGAACATTTATCTCATAGGGTGTATTTCACCAACGACATGGTCGTAAACGAGGTGCTATTGCGATTAAGATAGACAATGACATTTGGCCAAATTCATTAAACGAGCTATCAAATTTTTTTATGTATTTGTAGTTGAAAACAAGAAATGGGAGGCAAACATTAATAACCAAATGTTTGAGTTCTAGGCAAATCAAGAGGAACTGAAACTCGGGGTAACGGCAGGACTAACATAATGTAAAATCGTGTTTTGCAATGTATATTGTCAAGGGTGATATAATAATAACAATATTAAACTTAATATCGAGCTTTAGTTTTGTGTCAACATCAATCTAGCGGTCGACTCTGTGGTGAACAAAATATTAAGTGAAATGTAGATATATAAAGTATATAATGTTTACGAAATACGGAAAATGAGGTAATCTAAGGGACAGCCGATTTTGGTGATGAAAATCGAAAAAAAAAATTGAGAGATTAATATCTATAGCCACCGAGATCGAGGTTAGAATATCCGGCAACACGAGGAATTCTGGTGTCGTGTATAAATACGCCTTTCCTTATTAATCCTCGCAAATGTCCTGCGTGGTATGATGTTTGAGTGTAGATGACACCGAAAGAAAAAAAAAAGAAAGAAAAACCGTCTGATTTCTTGATGTCACATCAACATTTCCCCGTGGCTCAACACCCGGTGATCTTAGAAAAGTAAGGTGCGAAATTCGGAATCTCTGGGCCGAAGCAGTTAAACCAAGTGGCAGAGTTATGTCGCTTCTGGTTGTTAGTTTCTCTTTCTATGCGGCAATTTCGGGCCTAAATTGCCAAATAAATGCCGCTCTTAGGCTTCACTCTTCGTTTCATATCTGGCATCTATGTCTCAAGTACGGCGCTCTGGAAATTATTTGGTGAGGCAAAGGAAACCCAGAAAAAAACACAAATAAAAAATAGTCTGGAATTGAATCACGCCACGGAGAAAAACCGCATGAGCCTCAAGTTAGGCCCCCAGGATTGCCAAGCTTGCGCCAAGTAGAGGCCCATACGCTCATTTGCTTTCGAACGCGTTTGAGTGCGTTTTAGCGTCCTTGCGACCAGGAGCGGTCGCTTGTGCTACGACGCGCGCCGGCCCGCCACGCTCGGTAGCGCGACGCAAGAGACTCGTTCAACTTTCTAAAGCGTTGCGGTGCATTCGACCAATGAGAAGCCGAGTAAGAAGAGGAGGATCACGTAGCCGCTCGGGCCACTCGACGTTGCGTATCCGGTTCTCCATTCGCGGAACCTGCTTTTTTCGTTTCGGGGAGCGGTGGGGAATGCAGGAGCAAGTTTTTCAAGCACGGCGACGGTTGAAGCCGGAAAAAATGTCGCAGAAGCCAGCAGAATTGTCACCAGATCGACCATTTTGACTCTGTCGCCGGGCCCCGCTATGTTGCCGTGAATTTTGCTCACTATTGGTGAGCCGCTACCGACGATAGCGCATTCTTGTTCGCTCTTGACTGCGGTTGATTGCATGTCAACGTAACTGTGTGTACAAACTTGGCGCAAGCACTCCCTGCAACTCTACGCGTCGGCTTGCCGCTACGGAACGCACTGCAAAAGCCAGCTCTAAGAGATGAAAGAAATTTTTCTTCTTTTTCTAAGCTCGCTGCTCGAGCTTACTGGTGCGCAAGAAATAAAAACGAACAGTTCGAGCCAGAACACCGTAGAGCTCGGACGTCTTTTCCACAAAGTGGTGACCCGGAATCCGAAGGCCCACCGCCGCCTCGTACCACGATCGCAGCCAGCGTGCAGAACCTGGCGCAAGGCAGTGCTACCACCGGCGACGACGCGCCGATTCGTTCCCCCGACGCTGGCCTTACGGCCATCCAGCTCCGCTTCCCCCCTTTTGGCCGAAAAATCCGGGAGTCTGGATAACGCAAGCCGAGTGTCAGTTACACTTCCACCGTATAACATCCCAGCTTTCTCGGTCCTATTATGTCGCCGCCTCCCTCCCTCCGGCCGTCGCCGACAAGCTGGGAGACATTCTGCCCCGACCTCCCCCTGACGACACCTATGACTACCTGAAGGTCGCCCACCTCGAGCGGACGACAGCTTAGGAGCGTAAAAAGATCCAGCAGCTGCTCGCAGCCCACGAGCTTGGAGACCGCCGCCCTTCTCAACTTCTTCACCAGATGCGGCCGTTGCTTGGCCCCAATGCCTCCGGCTCGCAGGACCCTATTCTGAGATAGGTATTTCTCGAGAAATCCCCGCAAGGAGTACGCATGGTTCTGGCAGCTGCGGACGACATGCCGCTAAACCCTCTGGCGATGCTTGCGGACCGCACCGCTGAGTACCCTTCAATGCAGTAAGGTGAGCTGGCGGGCTAGTTGGTCGTTCATCATTAGTAAAATAGCGCAAAACAACAAGGAAGATGATACCCTTCAATGTCCATGAAGACGATCACACCGCACGAACCGCCTGCCTAGGAAACAGCCCTTACAAGACTCAAGTTGCGCATCGAGGAGCGCATGGAACAGCTGTCCTGCGCTCTTGCCGGTATGAGACCGTCGCACGAGACACCATGCCGACGAACGAGGCGAGATATGTCTCAAACCCACGTTCATCCTTGCGACATACCTCACGGTCAGCCGACAGATCGCTGTGCTGGTGTGCTGGTACCACAGGTGGTATGCGGAACGTGCTACGTGCTGCCAACAACTATGTTCACGGTCGGGAAACCCCACGGCCCGTTACTAACAGCGGCAAATGACTATGGCCAACACCCGAGCCGATTGTTCTACGTCAGGGATAAGATGTCTGGCCAACGATTTTTGGTGGACACTGGGTCCGAATTTAGCGTTCTGCCAGCGTCACAACTTGACCGTCAGCAGCACAGCGCACCAGACCCCTACGAGCAGTCAACAGCTCTGCCATCGCCACCTACGGCAAATTTCTCTCACCATTGACATTTGACTGTGGCGGCTTTTCCACTGGGTCTTCACTGTTGCAGATCTTCGCGAGGCCATACTGGGACGGGGGCCTTAACATGCGTGGCAGAGGCCTCACGGATGCTACGACATCGTTCACAATTCACCCAAACGACTGGAGATCGATTCGGAGATTATCAAGCCTTGAATGCGTGTGCGGTACCTGACAGGTACATTTCGCCAAACATTTACGATATCTCCGCTTGCCTAGCTGGCACCAACATCTGCAGCAAGGTAGACCTTATTATGGCCTAACAACATATCTAAGTTGAGCCAGCGAATGTGCCCTTCGGTCTCCGAAACTCATCACAGACGTTCCAACGCCTTCTAAACGAAGTCTCACCAAAGGCCTTAACTTCATCTTCGCTTATGTTGATGATATTCTCATGGCGAGTTCCTCTCGGAAAGAACACGACCAACATCTGCGACTTTTGTTGACCGGTTGCAGGAGTACAGCCTCGTCATCAACGCGAAGGAGTGCGTTTTCTGTGTCGGCGCGCTGGACTTTCTAGGCCAACGCATAACCTTGTCGGGCATCCTACCACTCCAAAAAAAGAGTTCGGGAAATCCGCGAGTTCCCTCAACCTACTTCGCTTCGCAGGCTTCGTGAGTTTCTCGGGTGAGTAAATTTTCACCGTAGATTTATTCCGCAGTGTGCCGAAATTCTACAGCCTATGACGGACTTTCTGAAGACCACAGAAGTGCCATCATCGTCATTTAAATGGACCGATGAAGTTGCATCAGTTTTTCCTCCGTGAAGGAAGCCATGATCAACGCAACCCTGCTTGTCCATCCACGAACTGAGGCTGCTACCCGTCTCATGACCGACGCGTCCAGTACAGCTGTAGGTGCTGTACTACAGCAGCTTCTCGACGGCAAGTGGGCGCACTGGTTTCTTCTCTCAGAAACTGAAACCTGCCGAAACGTGATTTTGTACGTTCGGACGTGGCCTCCTTGCCATCTTCCTTGTCCTATGGCACTTCAGGTACATCGTGGAAGGTCACGAGTTCCACGTCCTAACAGACCACAAACCCTTGATTTACGCGTTTCATAGCAATCACACAGCCTACTGCTTCCAAAAAATCCGTAAACTCGACTACATATGAGAGTTCACGCTAGATCTCCGTCACATCAAAGGACAAGACAACTGAGCAGCGCACGCTATTTGCGGCGTCGAATCCTTTTTCGCGCTCCCTGGAGGAGTGGACTTCGAGCGCATTGCTGTCGCGCAACGAGACCACCCTGAATTAAATAACCACCCTGACACGCTGAAGTCTTTGGTGTTAAAACAGATTCCCGTTCCTCACTGCACTGGTACCATCCTCTGGGATATGACCATGGGACATTGTCGACCTTTCGTTCCGTTGGCACTTCGTCGGCAGGTGTTCGACCACCTCCACAACATCAGGCACCCGGGCATCCAAGCCACGCAGCGACTGCTGACAGCTCGCTATGTGTGGACTACAATGAACGTGGATGTAGTACTAGGTTGGGCCAGTAGCTGCCTTCAATGTCAGCACTCTAAGGTGAGCCGGCACACCGTCACGCGCATCACACCATATCATGTCCCCTGGGCACGGTTCGACCATGTTACCCTTAATCTCGTCGGCCCCCTGCCATCATGCCGAGGCTTCACGTACATCCTGATTGCGTCGATCGCTACACAAGGTGTCCCAAACCTACTCCTTTGGCCGACATCACTGAAGAGACAATCTCCAAGACCTTTATCGAGATTTGGATATCCCGCTTCGGATGTCCATCCACCGACACTACGGACAGAGGACGACACTTTGAATGCTCTATGTTTGCTGCCTTAGCCCAGCTCCTCGGCACGCAACACCTGCGCACTACCTCATACCACCCGTCAGCTAACAGCATAGTGGAGAGGTTACATCGACAGGCCAAGGCAGCAATCACTGCAGTAGATGGACGACTCAACTGGGTCGACCATCTCCCATTCGTAATTCTCGACATTCGATCAGCCTTCAAACAAGACCTGGAATGGACCTGGGTTGAATTGGTCTATAGATTGCTACTCCGGCTCCCTGTAGAATGTTTTGACTTTACTAAAGGCACTCCAACAGTTCCACAAAAAGTGTACTTAGGCGGCTTGAGGCAGTTCATTGAAGAACTGCAGCCCCTACAACCTCAGATGCCCCATTTTCAGAAGGTCTTCGTGCGTCATCATTTGAAAAGTTCCACGCACGTATTCGTCCGAAAAGAAGTTAAAAATATATCTCACTCCAGCATACGACGAACCTTTTAAGATACTCGAGGTCACCGAGGAGACCATGACACTTGACATTCACGGACACCGAGAAATCGTCGCTATGGACCAAGTAAAACCCGCATTTCAGGACTCAAACTCTCATCCTTCGTACTAAGAGCAACTTTCAACACTCCAGAAAACCAAGAAACCAAGTGTTTCATGGGCCACATAACTCCCCAAACCCTTTCCTCTTCTTATGACTACCATTGGATCAACAACAATATTATTTACATTTCCGTGCTCCTTGCTGCCAGGGCGGAGCCTTGTAGGAGCCTGCTCTAAGAGATGAAAGGAATTTTTCTTGTTTTTCTAAGGTCGTTGCGCGAGCTTCCTGATGCCAGAGAAATAAAAACAAACAGTCCGAGCCAGAACACCGTGGAGCTCGGATGTCTTTTTCAAACGCACCGCCGTCAAACGCGAATGTGCGTATGGGCCTTTAGGTTTGTTCTTGACGTGATACACGGGAAGGCCTTTGAAAACTAACCAGGGTTTTAAATAGTCAGGTCTTAGTAAAAGCTTTGATCAACTATTATTTGTTTCCAAATTCCTTCGCTTCAATTGCCTATCGATACATCTTGAAAAGGAGCGCCCATGGAGTGCTTTATTAATCCCTTTGTTTCATCTCAGTTTACATTTTTCTTAGAAATAAATGGTTCAATATTAGGAGCTTCTCATCGCCAACAATGCTAGGAAGCGCTGCATGCATACGAAATAAGTTAAAAGTTGGTGATAAATTTAAATATTTAAAAAAATATTAAATTATGATTACAATGCGCCTTTTGGTCGGAAAGCAAAGTTCTTGCATTTAATAAGAGCTTAAGTAATGCATATTTTTTCTCTCTTTTTGAATGTCTGCTGTTTTTCTACAGGCTGGAGCTAGCCGAAACGAAAGGTTCATCTGTTTCTCGCCTTCTGAAAGGTTAGTTAAGTTAGTTATTTGATCCCTCGTTGTGAATGCACATTCGCAAATTATACGAAAGGCAAGTGAAAAAAAAAGAAGGATACGAAGCGAAGGAAAATGAGGAGATCGGTCCGGGGAAGACGACATCTCGGCCTTCGCTTACCCGATTCTTTGATCGCGTCTGCTTGTTGTAGCTCGTAGAAAAATAAGGTAGTCTCCGAGGAATTTTCTATTCCTCTTTTCGTGGGGTACATCCTTGTTTAAAAGCAGTCGATCAATTTCTAAAAGCCGTAGGAAATGTAGGACTGCCATTGTGACCACTAGAACTTATTCCGACTTTTCTATTTTGGCACTTATACGCCTGACGCCAGCGTCGCCTGCTAGATTCAAGGGGCCATTTGGCCAAGGGGACAATTTGCCCTATTTTCTCACCTAATAATGAGCTTCTAAACGTAAGTGCCAAGAAAGTTGTTTCAGCACGCTAATAATATGATATCTTCTTAGCCGGCGACACAATCGGAGACAAGTTTAGCTCAACTCTTTGGAGGTACCCGGAACTCTTTGACTTCAGGAGTCATGCACCGCCAAATATACATCTCATTGATGCTGGTGACTCGCCGCCCTTTTGGCGCCTACTACCTTAGGTCACAACGGCTGAACGTCGCTTTATTCAACAACAAATCATTGACACCCTCAATAAAAACATTGCTAAGTCATCGCCCAGCCCACAGCCCTCTTCACTTATGATAAAGAAAAATATACCCCTGAAGATTTTTTTGTTTATCGTCGCCGAATTGTGAATGAAACAATTAAATTCTTCTATCCGCAACCTAGAATTAATTACGCGCTTGAGACTCTTATTTATATATATTATGATGTGTATATTTTAGTGAAGGGCGACGTTTTGGTGCAAAAAGGTATTACTAACCGTTTAAAGGTAACCGAGTAATTTATTTTAGATCATTTGACTCATATAAATCAGAACCGTAACTTCTTGTTACCTGCACGCTAGCAACTGATTTCAACACTCGATCTGGAAGATCTGGCCCCAGATCATCCGATGACCCTGCTTTTTTCCCTGTTGTATTTGACGACCAGATGAACAAAGAGAACAAATGCTTTATTTAATTGGTGCAATCGTCTTTTGGAACAGTTGCGTAACTCGATAGTTGGTAATTCATTGTCTGGCTGCAGTGTTTTTTTATTTAGTCCGTCAAACAAAACCAGCACTGAAGGCTAGCTTCGAACAAAAAAGAGTGGACGTTAGAGTTCAGCGAATATATCCACTAGATGATAGCATTCGATTACAATGATGGTGTAATGTAGAAAACACGTCAAGCGACTCCGATGTCTCGAATGGAATGTCTTTAATAACGCGCACTCGCGACCACACCAGCGTTTGTGCATGGCGAATGGCGATGGTGCTGCGAACCTCAGAACACTGGCCTTGGAGCTGTTTTTCTCATTTTATGACCAAACTTAATGAAACTCCACAAGCTTGTTCAGCTTTTTGTGCTGATTTCATATATCTGCTCATTTTCTCAGTCAGTAGAATTGTCCTCAAAATAAATAAAACTTGCCTGCCTTTGTTTGGAGAAACGATAGAAACAAGACTGCTCAACAAAATATTCTTTTTAACACATGGCTAGATACTATGAAGTGTAGAGAATACAATGTTGGAAGCGCTTTTAAGAAAAACTCATTATTAGTGATTTTAGCACACATTGAAGTTCACGGCTCAATGCATGGCTAACAGGTAATAAAGTAAAATATCAAATATAAATTTTTCTAGACTTATATCAAAAATTATGCTCTCAACATTGTATGCTGCACACGTTCAGCTACACATTTCAGGAACGGTTATATTTATATCTGCTCTAGATGCTGAGATATCCTTCCGGCAAATTCTCAATGAGTCTAAAAATTGTGTTTTGTGAAAATAATGTTTTAGAGTCAACTTTAATGCTCATTCAGCCCGCGTAGATATTATAAGGTGATTTATAGCTCAAATATGCACCCACGAAATTATAAGCCTGGTAGATTCAGAAGAACGACAGCCATCGCCATTCTCGAAAGAATGCAGTTTTAGGAAGTTTTTGGCTCCAAAGACCCATGTCCCCCCTTAAAAAAGGAAATAAAAAAGAACGAAGTGGGCCCCCACGGTGCCCCTGTCCCACAGGGCTCCCCCCCCCCCCCCCCCCCCCCCCCCCAGAAACGTTGCCTGCGGTTGGGAACTGGCTGAAGCAGCGTCCGATTACCGCTGAGATGAAAGCGGGCTGGCGTCTGGCAGGCTGCAGACAAAGGGGATCGACTGCGTGCGATGCTCCCGTGGTTGCCTCCAGCGGAAACAGCGGGCACTCGCCGGTGGCTCAAAGTAAACCTGAAACTCGCAGAATGATGCGACCAGATGTGGGGTCGCTGCAGGTGCATTCCCAAGAGTCGCGGTGTTGAGCTGACGAGCGACGCTGAGGTTCTACGACTCAACAGCCGCACTGCCCTTGACGGTCAGCGATGCACCCAAGCCGGTTGCAGAGCAGCGACAGCAGCGGCTAAGATAGAGCCGCAGGCCAGCCGTCCGAGCCGGCAGGGACGAGCGAAGTGCATGCGTCCCAACGTGCCGGCGCCAGACACGATGGGAGATGAGGTGATGCAGGCCGCAGGTGCGGAGGCCGAGCCTGAGGAAGAGCCTACCGGGGTGCTATGTAGCGCTTTTTGGACTCCCAGGAGACTAACGAGAAGGAAGTGACGTCAACAACGCAGCATATGCAGATTGGATGTTGTTTTTGTTTTTTTCTGTCAACATCCAATCTCCGTTTGCTGTATCGTTGACGTCACTTCCTTCTCCCTTGTCTCCTGGGAGTCCAAAAAGCTCAACATAGCACATCCGCCCCCTCGTCCGAAGACTGATCGCTGTAGAGTGTCCCAGGACGCGGAGAACATTCACCTGGATGACAGATGCTCGGAGCAAATCACTTTCAGGTTACCATTTTTGTAGAAAAAGCGTCAAGCGACTCCGATGTCTTGAATGGAATGTCTTTAATAACGCGCGCTCGTGAACACACCAGCGTTTGTGCATGGCGAATGGCGATGGTGCTGCGAGTTAAAAGAGGAAATAAAAAAGTAAGAAGTGGGCCACCACGTGGCCCCCACATGTAATATATAAGAAACAAATATCTTAAATTCCCTTGACAATACACCTGAGTTATTCTTCCTCTGTGGCATACATTTAATAAAACGCCGGGAACCGAACGAAAATATAATCAGTCTAATACTGCTCCAGATCTATATTTATATATTTGGTTGCTTTTATCTAATTTACTAATATCATTTACGACTGACTGCCTGCACGTGAATATCGCATTCGAAAATGCCCCCCCCCCCCTCCCCCCTCGTCGTCACCTGCAGAAAGCTGGTCATTCCACAGCGGTTTGGGGTCGTCACTTTGCCCAAAAAATAATTAATAACTCGCCTTTTGGGGTACTCAAAGCCTCCAAAGCGCCATCTGACTACTCAGGGTAGTCATTTTTTTCTTGGAGTCTAGTCTGCTTCGGTGTCGGTGGGTGCCGCGGCCTTAAGGCCGTCGATAACTATGCTGAGGATGTTCGGCAGCGTCGCAGAAGCGTTCCTTTGTGGCGTATTGTCTTTAGAGTGCGAGCCCACCAATGTTTGGCGGATTCTTTACTTCGTCGGTAAACGTCAAATTCACCTCCCGGGGTAGACGCGCTTAGTTTTTCCGGCGTGCATGGGGATCAGGTTTTGTCTGTGAGAACGGGGAAGTGTGAACTGGATGTCACGGGCATTGCAGCCGGCATCGGGGACGCCGATCGGCGAAGGCGCTACTCGATAGCTCTCGGCCTCTCACCACGGAGGGGCCGAGAATCGTTCGGCGCGAACATCGCAGGCCCATGTGGCGGAAGCAGCACAGTCGGTAGACGTGGCTGGCTTCTCTGCAATGGTAGCGGATAGGGCGTCGGCCGGCCGCTCGCCTTACGTCGGTCTTCCGGGGTGCACTGGGCTCCTGGCGGGTGTATGGGACTGCTCGTCATGGTGACGGAATTACTGCTGCGCTGGAGACTTACGTTGAGGCGGAGCGGCATATGGGCGAAACGGTGTCGGTGGCCGTCGGGTCATTGTGGCGCGCGACAGCATTGGCTCCTCGGTGGCCGCCACGCGGTTTGGAGCCTCTGGTTCGAAGGCTCGCTGTGCTTGTTACCGAGCAACCTTGGCGATCGAGAACGAGGTCGTGCGTACAGCAGTGGGCCGTAACCTCTTTTACATCCTCCTGTACAACGTAGCAAATAATCTCCCTAAATCCAGGCAGGCTGGTGCCGTGGTTCAATCCCGATGGTAATAGGGCAGTTACGCCAGGGTGCCGCTGGTAGTGGGTTGCCCTTGCAAGGTTGCCTCGCCCCTTGTTCGTCGTCTCGTCGACGAAACCTTGAACGGTCGTTGGTGGTTTGCGTACAAGTCCACTAAAGGTGTCGTCTTTTATGCTACGGATCCGATTACGCAGCTTATTTTACTCGGTGGCCTCAGTCTCGGCGCTGGAGCTCAGGTGCAAGACGCCATACACGAAGCCCGTGACGCTTTCATTGTGGCCCTGGGTACTCGATTGCAGCAGGTCTTCGTTGAAGTTGAAAAGACTAAGTGCGCAGGTGAGGTGGCGGTAGCTTATCATGTATTTTAACACGTGAAACTGTGTTGCAAAACAAAACTTTCAGTCTTTTCACTCTGGTGAAGAAGGAAGACCAGCGAAGCTGTACACTCATCCGAGTGTTTCTTCCTCGTTCTCGTCTGTTTTGCGCAGTCTTTCCTACTATGATTTCCCACTACCTCGCCCAACTATTCATTCTTCTATGATAGCTGGAGAGGTTGCTGCCACCTATGAGCGACGGCGGCAACCAGATTGGTTGTCTGCTTGCCGCCGTCGCTCATAGATGGCGGTAGGTGTCCAGAGTTTTGTGTGGTTTTGTGTCGACATTTGTTCGGTACAAGACACGAAACTGGGAAAACTAGCCCTTAACAGCACCGCTGTAATAAAAAGAAACTTTTGGTCGGAGGAAAACAACAGCAGGCAACGCCTTAAACACAGCTCACTGGTTTATTTTGTAAGTAGACTACATATAGCCACACAACCACTCTCGACCACCTTCTACGCAGAAATCTAATTTGTTGAAAGCGCTTTAAAATGCAAACACCATACACATCCACAAGAGAATAAAATTCTGAGGACATATAAGCACTTCTTATGAGTTGTGAATGCGAAAGCATGAGTGTCGTTCTTCCGCTCCCTCAGTTCATCCGCGGCGTACTGGCGTGGACGACCAGGTTTCGCTATTGCCGAGGTTGCGACCGCCCACGATATAGATGCCTCACGCCCCGCCATGTTCCTTGGCGCCGAGAAGCGCAGAAGCGGCCGCAGCCCCCCACACCCATAGGGCAACGTTTGACACGCGGGCTGCGTCCCAGCGCACGCTCTCGTAAAGCGACCGTCAATGGCTATCCAGGAGCGGTTTCGATTCAACCAATGGGAGAATGGGCATTTCTTTCGCGTTCTTTCGCGGTTGCACACACCGCCGGCTCCCCTCCATAGAATAGTTAATGTTTTCGCATTAAAAGAATTCAATTCGCAATACCACCATTGTCGACCGCCTTCTATGTTCTAATTTCGTTTGTTGGAAGCATTAAAAAATATAGCATGTACGCTTACAAGAGACCTCGCAGTTAGACCCACAATACAATACCCTTGTCATATAGGACGACGGGAGAGGGTTCCGGGACCTACATCTGGGTAACTTCAAAAACACGGCGGCTGCTACGTTCTTTTGCACCGCAGTCTTAGGTGTTAAACTGCATGATTAACGCAAAGGTGCCTCCGCTTCCAAACATCAAACCTCTGCCCTCGGCGTGGGAGCCATGCACAATAACCATTCGTCCACGGGCGGGCTGCCTACTTGGCTAGCTTCGCGCAAGGCAATATTAGTTAAAAAAATGTCCACCTCAAAAAAACTATGAAATTGTGCCAAAAAAAAAAAAAGAAGAGGATTGGGTGACGCACCGCACGCCTCTCGGCTGGCGCCATCGTTTTGAAATTGATACCCGAATTGCTCGAGGGCTCTCACCAAAACACATAAGATAGCTTTATATGCTTCATATTCATACACATCTATTTTAAAAGCGACACATATTAGCGAGTCATCAAACCTGAACATCGTGGCCATTCATCCGTCACTTCTCAATCGCTCATTTTTCTTGAGAGTTTCTTTCGTTAAGTCAGCGGGAATATATAAACAGACATATATTTGGCGCAGTGTTACGTCATGTGATGCAGAGTCACTTCTTGTGACGCAGTGTTATGCGACACTAAGGATTTATTTCACATCTCACGTGTCGCCAGTCGTCTGACGTTCTGTGACGTCGCATGATTGTGATGCCAGGTGCGCCACGTCAGTGCCACGCGACATCAGTCCAAGTGACGTAACTTCGCTGACGACACAACGTCACAGTGGGACGTCATATGACACTAAGTCGCATGATACATTGCATGTGACGTCACTGACGCCACAATGAAACACCGCGACGCTACGTAACATCAACCACATGACCACGTTACATAACGCGGATGACATGAATAAAGGTAAAGTGATGTCAGGGTTCACTCGGTCACGTTGGAGCTTCAGTGATGCTAGGTGATGTGACGTATTACGACGTAACACTGGAACGTCCCTGTGTTATGTATCACTATCACGTCATGGGAGACTGCGTCATATGACATGACGTCACGTGACTTTAAGACGTGATACCGCAAAGTCATGTGACAAGGAGACGCCAAGGGGTCACATGACCACCGTCTCGTTACCATATGAACACAGTGCCGAGCGATATATAATGCTGTCACATTCCATCTGCATTGTCAGCTATCAGAGCGATTTAAATAGCATCAAATGTTGAATGAAACATAATATGGCAAGGACAATTCTTTTTTTTTTAGTTAAAGATGCCCTTATTTGTTTACCGTTTAGGCTTGGCATACATCGACGGACTTTGCCAACCAATGCTTCATTTCGGTGAAGTGGGAGATATCCCTCATACATACTCAATGCTTTCTGCTGCTGCTCATGAAATTGGACACATGTGAGTGTTTTATCGAGGTTCCCTTTTTTCTCTGCTTTCTAATCTCTGAATGTGTCTACAACATTTTTAAATGAAACATTTGCCGATAAATGCATATTAAGAAAATGATCACCATGACTAGCCGTTGTTCTTGCATCATGGTAGTCCTTAGTGTAATTTAAAATGAAACTCATGTGAATTCTAACACAAACTACAAATATATATTACACTGTGTAGAAATCATACCGTACAATTTACTAAAATGGACACATATTCGTCCTAAGAAATCTCCAGTTCGGCCGATTTTATACTACTCACAAATAACGCTTCTAAGTTAAATTCATACGTCGAAGTCGTCCGAGCATGAAGTCTACAGTCTTTTATCACCCCAATTTTCAACACACCAAATTATGTCAAATTACACAGTTTATCCTTTGTAAGTCCCGCTAAATTCACATTCCTGCGTGCGAGGCTGTTTTTTTTTTTTTTTTAATCTCTGATAAAGCAATTTTCTAGATTCGAGCCTATTGCCGTGCCGTAAGGGGCGAAAATAGACGCTTTGGAGGCTCGCGAGATTAATGCCGCCATTGCTGACCTTCTCTTGTCTCACCGAAATACAAAGTCTCAGAAGCGGGCCTTGACGAGCCTTACGAAGGCAAATGCTGAGGAAAAATGGCACAGTAGAATCTAAAAAGAAAATAACATATCGTGCTGTGGCAATGATGGAGCGAAGTCATCAAAATGAGAAGAAAGAAAAACTAAAGATCGGCGGCTGCGCGCCCATGCACAGCCGCTGGAAAGCGTGTATAGGTTTGATTGATGGCGGTGTCTTTGCCTCAAAAATTTTGCGCCACGTGTACAGACCGACCACTAACGCGGGCACCACCCTTGTCCAAGTTTCAAGGAGAGAGGTGGGGCAGCTTACGTTAGCTACCGAATGTACAGGAGGTCACCATACAAAGCAAAACTAACGTCCGCTTTTATTTCAAATAGAGCGGGACGTTAGTTCCACGCTCTACAATAATATAGGAAGCGATTTCTATTTAACCATTTCACTAACTGAGATTACAATCTGAGGGTCCCATTAAAAAAATTCACGAGATACGCTTAAATGTCCAAAACACGTTTTCGGGCTTGCATTAGTTGCAGCGAGTAAGCTAAACGTTGATTTGACGGTGAAAATGTTAACATTGTTTCTTACCTTGTGAGCACACTTATTGGGGATATCTCAAACAATGTATTTGTTTAAATGAAAGCTCTCCTATTTAACATCTCATATACAGTCTCGGAATGACTCATGATGGAGAGATTCCTTCCTACCCTGTTCCCAATGTAACATGGCTTCGATGTGATGCAACTTTGGGATACCTTATGGCTCCTGTGTTAGGAGGCCGAAATGAAGGATTCTTTTCCAACTGCTCTTTGCAACATATGAGAATCTTGGTAAGGTAAGTATGCCTACATGTTTTGCTTACTTTTCTTCTTTATATTTTGTCTACAGAGTATAATTCCCAGCATTATAGCATAAAATATAAATATGTGCCCATAATAGCTGTATTCGTTGCAAAAACAAACACTTGAATCATATGCACATATGCCTTTGTATAGAACCCTTGTGAAATATTGTTATATGTATTCGCAAACGTAACAACTGGAATTGATAGGACGGGGAGATAAGTATATAAATCTGAGGGGAAGAAAAATAGGTGTTCCTACGGTTGTGAAAGAAATAATTTGGACGACGTTTTGTTCGTAATAAATCCTAGTTGTTCTAATATTCACCGGGACGCTTTTGAAAGAAAGCGGCCACATTAACATCTAGGAACATTAATAGAATAAAACACAGGCGGGACGTGGGCAGGCGTACCGATTGTTCCAAAAACTGTACGTTGTAGCTTGTCCCACCTGTGTCGTATTTTTTCGCCGTAACTCAACTCAACGAACACGCTCGTCAGTCTGCATTATCTCAATATCTAAACAACTCTAGAACACATATAAGAAACTAAAACATTTTTTCCAGACCACTCTAGGCCATTTGTACTAGAGCATGCACCTACTTGTCGAACCGAATAACCGGTTAAACCGGATGAAGGCGAATTCGGCTTTCAAAGCCGGTTTTCCGGTTATTAGGATTTTCGAATACGAATAACCTGTTTGGTATACGTCTCACACGGTAATCCGGATTATTAGGTTTTATCTCAAGTAAATAATAATGAAGCTCTTATTTTATTTGTACCAATTTCTGCGCATATGGTGACGAGATCGAACTATAGATAGAGTGCGATTTGTACCGATTCTTCTGTACCGATTCCGGCACAAAATAATTTATACTTAAATATTCAAATATCCGGATACTTAATAACCGAATAACGTAACGGGTTATTCATATATTTTTTTTTCCGGTTTTCAAATTCTAATAATTGCTAATTCGAATAACCGGATAACCGGTTATCTCCAAAAACCGGTCTGTACTACGCCCACTACTTTTTACCCATTGTGGTGTGAGGTACAATCTTTTCTCTCCCCTTTTGTTTCATGAACAACCGAAGGTAGGAAATACGTTCACAAAAAATACAAGCAAAAAACAAGCTACTCAACTACACGCGACTCCGTAGCAGAAACGTCCGCTCGGATTTACTGCACCGCCTCCGGCAAGCTAGCAACTTGATTTTGCTAGATCTTAATGCTAGTTGGTAGTGTTAGTTGCTAGCAAATAGCTGCGAACAAAAATTTCGCGCTGCCCATACTAATCTTGCAGATTTCTTCTCAGAGGTGCTGTAGGCCTCCTCACGGAAGGTAAACTTGTTGCTAGCGTATAAAATTGGATGAGCGTTGCCGTTCTTATCGTTTTGGCAGAGTACCATGCGTACTGTGCCCGTGAGTACCCGTGTTGCTGGCGTTACACGGGAGAATGAAGGGTCTAGAATAATTGGGTGCTCTAAGCACTGGCTTGGTAGTCAGGATTAAATTCATGAAAGACCTATACCATGGTACAGTACAATGCAATACAGTACAATTTTATTACCTGTCCAGATAATCACTTTTGGTTCCGCCTTTCTCTATGAATCCGTAAGTGGGCTTGGTACTTGCGAGTAAGTTCGAATGAATCGTTAGTATAACCTGTTTATTCTAAAAAGGTTCTTATATCCGATTATGTTTTGGGACGACGGAATCTTTTTACGGCCATCACTTGAATCACTTTGGGGCGATAAATTCCCTGGCCGACAATGCGACCCAAGTAGGAAAGTTCCTCTCGTCATAATCGACATGTATTAGCCTTGGATGTCAGCCTTGCATCGAGAACGCGCTCTAGAAGCACGTGCAAGTGATTTTAATGTTTTCCCAATGATGCAGAAAAAATGGCCATGTGATCTAGGTAAGGTAAACAAAAGCCTGCTGGGACATCTAAAACCACAGTCATCAACCTCGAAAAGCAAAACGGTGCTGCGTTCTTCAGCTCAAGCTTAGCACGAAAGGACGAAATGTCCCCATGGGAGAAATAAATGCCACGAGCACACTCCATTCGTTCTTTGATATTTAAAGCCAGATAAGCTTGATCTGTCGCATTAGGTTTAACCTGATGTAATCCAAGCACTGCCTGTGATGTTTTCCCGGAGATTACACTAAGCCCATTGGTGAAGTGTAATTGCTTTCACAAGCTATGATAACTCGTAAATCTAGCATCCTTGGGATTTCGGGCCTGGGGATTTCTTCAAGCTAAAATTTGACAGATATGTGTCTGTTTGGGTAAAAACTTGAAAACAAAAGGAACTCTAACCAATCCCTAAAAACTATTGGCCGAACGTTTTGAAACCCACTTGGTTCTTCTACAGGGGCAGTTATAACTCTTTGAGGAGCAGCAAGATGATTTCCTACGGTTGAGGTGACGTTTCCGTTTTCCTCGTCATGTGGCGAAGAGCGTTTTGTATACGGGTGGTAAAGCGCCGCGAGGATCCATTGATGTTGGCTGGTGTATTTTGAATATGGCATCATTCATCAACAAGACTCTGCCGGGGGTTTTGGGGGCCGTTGTATTCAAAAAGCCTCAACGTCAAGAATGCAGGTGTTCTTGAAGTCTATTCGATGGTCTTTGATGTCTGAATGTTCCGTTGCAGCGCTGCGCTCATGGTTGAACTTGTGCACGTCGTTTTTGTTTTGGAAAAGCCTTTCTAGGAAATTTTGTGTTTCGCCGGATTTCTTTTTGACGTGGTGAAACCCGGTGTGATGTGGAACGTATTGGCAAGTCTCGTGTTAATTCTATATCATGAGTGACCAGTGTAGTGAGTCTCGGTTGATTTATGACTATATCTTGAAAGTTCCTTAACTGTGCTTTGAGATCATCGACTTGGTTTTCTGTCAACTCTGACAGTTCATCATTACTTACAGCGCGACTGGGACAAGGACAGACAGAGGAGAAAACACAGAACAAGCGCTGAACTAGCAACTGATTCTATTGAAAAGAAAAGACATGTGATGCTGCTGTTGCTGATGCAGGCATGCCCCTCCGTGGCCCTGGCACTTCTTCTTTCACTCAATACGAAACCGGCCAAGTTATCCGAGATCCAAAAAGCCTATCTCGCTCTTCATCAAAGTCACTGTGGGCTGGCTCACACAAATGGATCCGGTTTGTGTTATGTGGTACGTCTCCATCATTTCTCGGGGTAGTTTGTGGTTGTGTCGAAATATCACTGTGGTCTTGTTAAAAAGGGGGTTGGCATCCGCAATCCGGGAAATGCATCGCGAGATGCGTGTGAGCGGTTCCTTTCATAGAACTGTGGTGTTCTCGTAGTCTTATGTTGAGGCAACGCCCAGTCTGTCCTATGTAGGCACGCCCGCAGGGAAACGGATTCTTGTAGACCACGCCTTCTATGCAGGCGACAAACTGCATTCCGTGTTTGATGCCGCAGCCGCTGTGAGACTTAGGATCGTTATTTCTCGCGCGTTTGTTGACTGCAGAGCACACAGAGCAGAGCTTGTGTCGAGCGGAAAAAAACAACATTCACGTTGTATCTTGAGGCGACTTTCTTGAGTCCGTGGAAAAGGCGGTGGATGTACGGTGTGACTGATTTTCTTTTTCTCTCTTTGCTCGACGTCACGTTGCTCTATCGCGGGATCACTTTTAAGGTGAGTCACGGCTTGTGGTTTGGGCGCCGTGGGACCCGGGAAGGCAGGGAGCCAGCCTTTTGGGGGGAAAGCGTTTTTTTTCCGGTTCGAAGTCGTGCTTGCACCAGCTCCAGCCCACCGCGTTCCTTTTCTCCTCGCGCACCGTCTCCAGCCTCGGTCCTTCCGTCCTCACTTCGTCTTTTTTTCGTCGCACCAATCAGCGCACACCACGGGTAACAAAGATATAACAATCACAAAGCCCGATAACCCGTCGGCGACGGCGCGCGCTGAATCCGCTGCCTCGTGCATGCCACATGCATGACACGCCCCCCCCCTTTTTTTTTTTCTTTTCCAATAACAAAGTCACAATTTGTGTATTCCTTTACAATCGTAGCATTTAGAACAAAAGAAAACAAACTGCGCGCACATTCCCGTCCATTCGGCGTGAATGATCACTAGAAAGACTGACAAACTTCTTGAGAGCATCTAAAGTACATTAACCACAAACAAAACTCCACCCGGCTACAGCCTTGACAACGCATCAGCAGGGACATTTCTCGTCCCTTTTACGTACCGGACATTCAGGTTAAATTTTTGCAATGCTAGCACCCAACGAGTCAGCCTCGCACTATTTGGTGCTGCTGACGCCAAATACTGCAAAGGGTTATGGTCGGTGCGAATTTCGACCTCCGCCCCAAATAGCCACGTTTCCAACTGACCCAAGGCCCACACAATCGCGTAAGCTTCGCGTTCGATTACAGCCCACCGGGTTTGGGGATCAGTTAGTTTTTTACTGAGAAACGCCACCGGGTACTCTTTCCCATCACCTGCCCTTTGGGCAAGACATGCCCCTATAGCTCTATCCGATGCGTCGGTGGACAGAACAAAAGGCCGGCTGGCATCTGGCGCTCTCATGACTGGAACTTCCATCAGGAGACACTTTGCATTTTGAAACGCTTGTTCCTCCTCGTCACCCCACGGTAACACGTTCGGAGTCCTGTCTCCAGTTCGCGCGGTCAACGGCAACACCACTTCAGCATAGTTCGCAATGTAGTCTCTATAGTAGTTCATTAGCCCTAAAAAGCTCTTCAGTTCTTTCTTCGTCTTTGGCCTCTCCATGATCTCAATCGCCTTGATACGAACGGGGTCAGGAGCATGCCTCCCAGAGCCGATCTGGTGGCCGAGGTACATGACCATTCCCTGGGCAAACCTGCATTTGGACAGCTTCACCGTAAGCCCCACGCGACTAAAGGTTTCGAGAACGCCTTTTACATGCAAAATGGTGGTCTTCCCACTTAGAGGAATATATTGCAATGTCATCGATATATGCGCCTGCATATTCTCT